CTTTCAAGGACCTCTTCGAGTTTGCTTACAGCTTGATTGGAATGAACGTGTCCTTCCATAAACTAAAGGCTGAATTTTCCGAATTTCAGTTACAAACTTTTGGAATATTCTTTCCTGACGATCCACAGATAATTCTTAACTCGATGGTGACAACTAGTGTTCTTAAAAGAAACTGTTCTAACCCCGAGAGTTACAAAGAAGCAGAGAAACTCGCCAAAGAAACAGTGCAAAAGCTTGGTGAGCTGGAGAAGTCTGGAGCCGCTATAGATGATGATACGAAATTCAGAGTCCTCGAGCATCGAGCCTCCTATTACGCGATGGAAGGACAGTGGCAGAAAAACTACAAAGCACTGCTTCAACTTGAAAGTCTGAAACTGAGTGATGCTAAATCTGTTGAACTTCAAATGCTGATCGGAAGAGCTGAAAACTACGCATCGGCTGGGAATTTTAAAGCAGCTTTGAAACGTCATGAGTATGCCTTGAAGCTTGCCAGGGAATTGCAACCTTTAGATCTGGAATTGTTGCTACGTGTTCTTCAGCATACAGCAAGTCTACTCAAAAATGAAGGAATGGCCGAAAAAGCAAAGCCTTACGCCGAAGAAATGTTAACAGTGTGCAAGGAGATGCCGCACGACTCTGACTATTACATCAAGGGAATGACCAGCGCTTTAGGTATACTCAGCAAGTTTGATGGTCAGCGGTCGGAAGAAAAGCTGCTAAAACTGTTGAAAGAAAGATGGCCTCATATACACAAAAGCGTCATGAACGGCTCTGTAGAAACTAATGCAGTCATTGAGGATGGAAGCGATGAACACGCAGCCCAAGTTCTTGAGAGTCTAATAAACAGCTGGGTCGCAGCAAGGATGGCAGGGATCGGAGACTTTGCTGTGAAACCCAAGTTGCCCAAGTATTTGACGATAACACAGACTTTGTTATCGATTCGCCAAAAGTTTTACGGTGAGACGCATCCAGCCTTAACAACAATTTATATGGCCTTAACAACCTTCCATAAGCTTTTAGGAAATTACGCGGAGGTACAACGTTTCAGTCAGTTGTTAACAAAGTGCAACGACGGAGGGAAACTTCCATTCAACCAAGGCCTGCCACCGTGCGACTACAATATGTATTCTGCCCGAGAATTAAAAGACCGCGGTAATAGTTTGTTTAAGATGCAAGACTATCACGGCGCAGCAGAAGCATATACTAAAGCTTTACTCCTTTTTCCAAACGATGCCAAATTGTTGAGCAACAGAGCTGCTACTTACCTTAACTTATCAGAACGACAATGCTCATCGGAACACAAACAAAGGTTCCTTGAAAAAGCCCTTGTAGACTCACAGGAGGCGATAGCTGCTGACCCCTCTTGGTCAAAAGGTTATTACCGAAAAGCTGTCTCCCTTGCCCTTCTTGGAAGACGAGGAACCTCGCTTGCTACAGCTGCGATTGCCCGGCATCTGTTCCCGTCGATTTGCGAAAACATTCCAATAGTTGTGGCACACTTTGGAGACTATTATTCTCTTGTCGTTAACACAGTACAGGACCTTCAAACTGCAACTGAGAAAACAGACACTGAAACAAAGAAGCTTGAGAGGAAGAACAAAGTCATTTTGATGAAAGAAGGCGAGTATCTGTTGGAAAGAAGAGTTGAAATTTCAGAAGAGATTGTGATCGTTGGTCACGGGAAGGTATCAGTTGCGTGCAAGACTGGAGCACCTTTTCACTTCAAAGCAGCATATCATGTTGAGAATGTGGAAATAGCTACGGACTTTGACAGCCATGAGGAATCACAAGAGTGCAGTTCAAGTGACACTGAACCAGAAGTGATACGCCTAGCAACGCCCTCCGGGTACGACAACACAAGCAATGAATGTAAGGTGAACTAGCGGACGATGAAGATTTGTCGCTTGGACTGAAATCCTTTTTAATGAGGTTTCCCAGTAAATGATCTTATAAATGAAACACAGAGCATGCTGAATTATCGTTTATAGAGACAGAAAAAAAAGCAATGAACATGCATTATTGAGTTGCATCATTTAAATGCTTTAACTATAGGAATGAGGACCTAGGCGCAAGTTGATTGAGTTGCCATGCCCTCACAGAAGTAACTTAAAACTGAATAATTAAGTTTTTAGATGAAAAGCGAGCATCATAAAATTTCATATTACTCGTGAAAATTATTTCTAGATAAAAGGATTAAGGAATCTGTATGAGAGGGAAAATTGTCGAAGTATGTGAGTGTTCAGTTAGACTTTGTTCTCTCTTTAACTAAAGTGGGTTAGCTGATGGCAAGTCAAAAAGACAAACATCACCCCATCTTGTCTTACCTTAGATAACAAGAATTCGACTCTAGTGGCTAATTAATAAATTCTTGATTCACAATTATAGTGTTTTCATATGACGTCACGGCTGCCATTTTGGTTTTCCTAAACAGTGAAAAGTTGGTCATATTGATGTTCCAAACTAGTCATGGTTGAATTCTTCTTCAATGCACTTTTTTTTTTCTGTTGCACTTGATCCCGTGAATGAAAAAGCTCTACAGTAATTATGATGATCATGATCATTATAATTTGAACCATTGATGCATAATCGTCATCAAGGTGTTTATATCTTCATCGTTACCTGATTTGGTTCGCATTGACTACGACAGTTGAGTGAGGTGTGACGATGGTTTGGAGACCAGGTTTTGATGTTAAAATCATGTTGTTATCATGGGCAGCTCGCTTCGTTTCCAGTGGTAACGTGTCGTTTGACTTCTTTAAGCGGGCTTCCATATTTGACAGTTGGTGACGCACGGCTCACGAGATTCGGTTACCATTAGAAACGTGGAAGGTTGCTCATGACAACACCAATATTTTAAGGTCAAAACCCGTCACCAACTTTTTTTTGCACCTCACTCAACTAATAATCGTAGGTCTTCCTTGGCACGCACACTTTGCCTGTTAAGGTGATTCGTCGATATTGCATTGCGCATCCTTTACTGCGCATGAAAATCCCGTAATGAGGAGTTGAAGCGAGCGTGCATTCCGTGAACGCGGTGTTAGGGACCTTTAGCAGTCATGACGGCAACGCCGAGGAAGACGTCGATTAAAAAAGGAATTTCTGCTTCAATTAGAAATTCGAAATTGGTTGCATGTGTTTACCGACTTTACCGTCTCCAACGGCGCCACACCTCAACCTCAGCATAACGTATATTAGCCACGTTGAGGTTTAAATGGAAATTACAATGATTTGCCGTCATAGTTTCCGCTCTCAGACGACGCAAATTTTGGTGATTTCACGTTGTTTTGCAACGGACGGCTAAGAAATGTATTGAAAGTTTTAAAACGCACGTGCTGGCTATTGTTCGGCCCATTAAATCTTTTGTTTAATTTCGCCACGTCCTCGTTGCCGTCGCCGTCACCGTCGTGGTTAACTCTAGTCTCCCTCGCAGCCGTTTTTTTTTGGATGTCACGCAACGCTCCCCCAAAAGATGGGGGAGCGTTGCGTGACATAAAAAAAAAAACGGCTGCGAGGGAGACTACTAAGAGGAGTGACAGAATCAAGAATTGGCCCAAGGAATATTATGGGCTAGGGAGCTTTGGAACTTTGGAATTGAATGTAACACGTTGAGATCAGATGAGGAATTTTGCGAGAATTTAAAATTTGGCCATCTCATGACTGACAAACAAAAAATCTCCCTTCTGCATCTGTTGTAGCAGGGATTTTCATGTCATCAAATTATTGATTGTGTCCTCAATAATTGAGGACACGATAATTAATAGGTCACTATCAACTGTTCACAAAGCGTATTCTTGCAGTTATCAATTGTCACTTCGCTCCAAATTTTCTCAAGCGAGGTCCTGCTTGATTTCATAGCTTTTATTATTTAAAAACACTACGTCCCAATACAGTTTTGACTCGTTTTTGTTCCGACATGCGAAGTTACTTTTAGAGTCAAGGAAATCACAAAATAATATTTCGGTAGGATGAAAAAGCACTGAAATTAAAAAGTAAATCAAGTGGATGACAAACATGAAATTTGGGCTAAGTTTTTCAAGGTGTTCCAACGATTGTGAAGCGAAGACGTACAGAAGCTAATGGGACGTACTTGTGTCT